ATGGGTAGGGCCAGAGTGCCCCAAAACTAGCAAGGTAATTGAATAAAAGAAAAAACAAACCCTTCCCTTCTCTGGTATCTGATTAGGGATAAAACCATGGGGAGCAGACACATGTGCAACAGAAGTCAAAATGGAACAGGGTACGGGCTGGACCAAAGACGCCTGCCAGTCTAGCCTGGGGAAAGAAGGGATTGATCTGGAGTTGGACCGACCTGAAGCACACAAAAGTTTGAGAAGTTGATTGATCATTTGAGAAAGCACTGGGTCCATTCCAAGCCTAAGACAATATAATTCCATGGGAACAAAGAATTTCTCCCTTGCCTAAATGATGATGCTCTTCCCTATGCATTTGAGCCTGTGCCTATGTGGTTGTAGCTGCCACATGACTCATGACCATGCAGGCTCCATATATGGGCTCCAGGAGGGATCCTGAAGTAGACAGCAGATGGGAACAAATGAAACTACTTGAATGGGGACTGAGACCACTTAGCAGCCACCTGTGGGCTTCAAAAGACTGTATTTTAAAATGGAGCAGGAACTCTGGACACTGACTTTTGTCTTGGTCTGGCCGAGAATGGTTGGACTTTTCCCATGGCAGAGAGGGGAGGGTCTTTGAGACCACAATTGCCATTCCCCCAGGTCACACAGCATCGGAATAAAACCTCTTTCCTTTTTCACCAGCATCTGCCTCACAAGTTTGGCTTTTGTGGTGACAGGCAGCTGAACCTCCATTTTTACTTAATTACAAGAGTAGAAATTAAATGAGGGGTTCTGAACTGCCTCAACATTTACATTTAGGTCCAGTTATAATTCTGAGTATTAGTTTATAGTCAAGGACTGGACAAGACAATTTCACATACATTGACACATTGAATCCTCTAAGTTAGGTATAATTACTACTGCTTCACAGTGAGGAAAGAGAGGCTTAGGAGGTGGTGTGATTTGCTCAAGAAAACGCATATAAAAAAATAGAAGAACCTCAATTTGAACTTGGGCCTTCTGACCCCAGGTTATTCTGACTGTGTCTTAGTCACCTGGGAGTTGGCCTTGTCACAACGTGGTATTCCTGAGATGCCTTGTTTTTCAGCTCCAAAATTCCCTTAATTCTAGGATAGTGGCCCTATAGTCTCATGGTACCCTTTGGGATTAATTCAGTCTGTGAAATGAAGATGAGAGTGAGAAAAGTCATAGTCACTGAGAGTAAAAGATTATTATATATATGAGTGACTAGGCTAAGACAGCATCCGAGGGTTGTTTCCTGCTTGAAAGCACAGTTTCCAGGATATTAAAATGTCACCTTATGCTCCCTAAATGGTACTACAGTAATCTTAAAATGTTTTCAATTGTGGGTTCCTAATTGTTTACTTGCTATGGTGAAAATTATTCTCAGATATAGTTAATATTATAAAAATGTCTTTGAAATTATCTAAGAAAAAGAGAGTCTGTTTCTGTTTTATCCTTACTAGGAGCCAATTATTTCACACCTCACATTTTTAATGTTCACTGGATTCTATTTTATTTTTGTTCTTAGATATTGTCTTTTCATGCCATTCTTTTTTCCTGTTTGGTATTTCTTCAAAGTTTTGCTCTGCAGGTTTTACGTTACTACTGAGATTTTTTTCTCCCTAAGTGGAGCAGATTGGTCAGTGAAATGTACAACTCATTCACGAAAACCACCTTCCTTCAGTGACTTGAGGATGATGGATGTTATTAGCTAAGACCATTTTATCACTGCCCAGATAACTGACTGTATTAAAAACCACCATCCTTAAGCATCATTTAAAGATGAATATTTCTAACAGAACCCAATGAATGGCATGTAAAACTCTAAGCAAATATTAAAACATAAAAGAAACTCAATGAATAATAACCAGTTTCAGAAAAAAGAAACCAGGCATAATTTTCTGTCTATAAACATTTATCATACACTCGAAGCATGTTAGACCATGGAAATATTAACTTGTTGCAAGTTAAACATGATTAATACTTCTCTGGAAAACCATTTTTCTCATAGTTCTTTCTCAAATTTTGCACTTTTTCTGAACTTTCTGAAACATTAATTCCTAGAATGGTTCTCAAAATACCATGGATCTAACTGACATGCAGAGTTCATTACAATAAAATGCTGATAGTAGGAGAAGTGACCGGAGAGAGGGAGGTAATATATGCAAGACAGGACATTTCTGCTGGCTAAATGGAAAAGTGGACTGTTTAATTCATAATACATAACATATTGGTAATGATATTTGTAGAGTTAAAAACCTCAATTAGTATACAATCATTGGACGTATGATCTTAAATATGTATGGGAGGCATTTTGGAAGAGACATTCTTATGTCACATATTTATGTTGAAGTGTAAGAAAATGTAATGATTCTCCTTGCCTTAACTGGCCACACTTAATGAGGAGTCAGCCATAGGAAGTGGAAATATGGAAGCTACATTCCAAATTTTGAGGTCATTGTGGAAAGATACAATGCAAACAGAGGATGTGTTGAGGCATTATCTGAACTTTTGCTAGCAGGCCACTGTCTCAGGATTTTTATTTTTAAGCCAGAGAAGTGATATTGAGGAAGGGGTTTCACACCATGGGAAAAGAAAAGTGACCTCCAGACCCTCTTGACAATGCAACCGTTGATTTGTAGCAGCTGTTGCAATACCAGCAGCCTACATAGGAATGTCTATGCCTTCATTTCATGCTGGACTCATTCTACTTCATACTGTAACTTGCTAACATCTGTCTTAGTCTGAGAAGTTTTTTGTTTTTTTCATAAGGAGGCAGACACAATTATAGGCAATGCTGCATTGCCAGATATTTCCCTTCGTGTCCCTTCTTTGGGCAATATTTCTCGAAACCCTCTTTGGAACCACCTATATTCTATCACTTATGTAGGATAATTTATTGAATGTGCAAATTTATTAAGTCATAATCTCTGGAATCTTTAATTTTAATCTGCGCTTTTGTTCAAACTCTCTCTCTCCCTGTTAACAACTGAGACCCCAAAATATTGGGCCTGTTTCATAAAGGACCAAGGTCATACATCATGTATATAAAGGTGTGCACTTAGGACAAACTATAAGCTGCAAAGAGCTGTTCCTAAAATTGTATTTCATAGATTAGATAGAACAATAACAAAAGACTCTCAATAATGCAATGTTTCAACAAAAATGAATTTAAAATGATTTTAAAGATACATATGCGTACTTGCATTTGTTCTTTTTCTTCCCATCCTATTGATGGGAAAGTCAAGAGAATCAGTAATATCAAATGAGACAATACCTAAGAAAACAATTTAGAAAATAGAAATAGAAGTCTTGGATTTTCTTTTTTTTTTCTCCCCTGGGAGACTGCTCACAACGAAACATGAAATGATTTTACCTTGATTGGTTTTCACAGGATCATTAAAACAGATGAAGTGCCCTGAGAGGTAGGACCAGGCAGGGATTCAATGATATAAAATGTACATAAAGCTTAGCAAAATGGTTGTCACCAAATAATAGAAAACGTTTTTGTATAATATTCTACATTATGTTGCCAGGTACTATTCTAAGGACTTTGCACATATTTAGTCATTGTGACTGGGCTCAGATTTTGAATCTTTGCAGACTGGATTTAGAGTCAATGCTCATAAGTCACTATACAAAACTGTAACAAAAATGGGTATTTCATTCTTACCTTAAAAAACAAGCAGATGTGAAACATTTCAAAACTAGTGGAGAAAAAAGAATAATACATAGGGATTTGTCTTACAAGATAATAAAACTTTCTATAAGACTAAAATAATTAAATGTGTAACTTAAATGATTAAACTGTGTAATTAATGGGTGAAAAATAGACTGGCAGATCAATGGAACAGAAGAGCTATCATGGAACCAGAGCCTATAATGTAACGCATGATAAATAAATCCTGATGTATCAGGTGAAAGAGATGGATTGTTCAAATGTATTGCTGAGACTATTGATGATCTAGTTTAAAAAATCCATTTTGATTATACTTCACTCTATTTCATCAAAATAAATTATTAAAAGATAAAAGAGCTAAACAGAAATTAAAACTAGAAAATAACAAAATATACTGGTGAATATTAAACTATTTTGTGGAGACAAACTTTATGAATCTGAATAAAATTAAACACCTACGAATGACATCTTCCTGTAGGTAAACCTTTCTAAATCTTAAAGTGAAAAATCCTCACAAGCCTAAATTTAATAAAAATATGAAGGTGTATTTGATATAAAATGTGACAGATTGTTAGTATTCTTAATTTATAAAGACATTAACCCACTTTCACAAAGGCAAAGCTGCCCAGAAGTAAGCTACAAATAATTGGACAAGGCACATGAACTATTAAGAAAAAATAGAAATGCAAATGATTAATTAACATTTGAAAGAGATTACTAGTACTAACAATGAGCGAGTAAATCATAACTATGATATTCCATTTTTAGCAATTATGAAAGTTATAATAATTACCCTACTATTTAGTGCTAGTGGCTGTATAAATTGAGAAATAACTTCTGAAAACTGTTAATAAAACCCAGAACATAACTATGTTCACATTTTTTGACCCAGAAATACTATTTCTGAATATATACCCTGATATAACATTCCTAAGAGGAGATAAAGATTTACAGAGTAAGAGTTTTAAATGCTTGGTTTAAAATGGCAAAAAATCAGCCAATACCTGAATGTTTCAAACTCAACTATGGGGAATTTGAGTATAGTGAAAGAATATATAACCTATTAAACAGTTTTAGCTTTTTATTATCATTAGAAAATCATAGCTGCACACTTTAAATGCATCTTTCGTGTGTTTGCTAAGCAGTTTGCATAATAATAGCAAAATACAAAATGTTGAGGGATAAAAATTTGAGTAATTTTCCCCCTATAGTTCTTTAGCATATCTTTTTCACAGTGAACATGCATTCCCTTTACATACAGAAAACTTTTCCCTCCCTCCTTTTTTCTTTTTCCTTTTTTAAAGATTTTATTTTATTTTGATCTATGATGACTCCCCCAAAATGCATTCCTTGGAAAAACTGAACAAAATGAATGAGAACTCCAATCATGATTCTCACAGGATCTGAGGTAAAAAGATGAAAAAATAAATATTTTATTTTTAAGATTTTTTATTGTATTTTTTCCATTACCATTTAATTCCCCTATATCCCCCTTCTCCCAGCAATCACACATTGTTGTCCATGTATATGAGACCTTTTTCCTTTTGTTCAATTCTTCTACCCCCTGTTTTCCATCCCTTCACCTTACCCCCTTATTGGATGTATTGGTGAATATATTTTCCATTCTGTGGGTCATCTTTGTGTTTTGTCGATTTCATTTGCTGTGCAAAAACTTTTGAATTTGATGTAGTCCCATTTATTTTTTCTTTCGTTTCTCCTGCTTGGATCAATATATCAGATAAGAAATTGCTACAAGCCATGTCTAAGATTTTGCTGCCTACGTTTTCTTGTAGGGTTTCTATGGTTTTGGATCTAACATTTAAGTCTTTGGTCCATTTCAAATTTATTTTTGTGTGTGGTGTAAGAAGGTGGTCTAGTTTAATTTTTCTGTGCATATCTGCCCACTTTTCCCATTTATTGAATAAATTATCTTTAGCCCATTGTATGTGCTTGCTTCCTCTGTCGACTATAAAGGTGTGGGTTTATTTCTGGGCTCTATTCTGTTCTATTGATCTATGTGTCTGTTTTTATGTCAGTTCCATGCTGTTTTGATTACTATGACCTTATAGTAGTTTCATATTAGGTAGCATGATTCCTATAACTTTGTTCTTCTATTTCAGGATTGCTGTTGATAACTAGGGCCTTTTGTGGTTCCACACAAATTTTTGAAATAACTGTTCTAGCTGTGTTAAATACACCATTGGAAACGTGATAAGAATTGCATTGAATCTAGAGACTGCTTTGGGTAGTTTGGACATTTTAATGACATTAATTCTTCCTATCCATGAACATAGCATGTGCTTCCACTTATTTATATCTTCTATTTTTTCTTCAGGGTCTTATAATTTTCCAAGCATAGGTCTTTTACATTCTTGGTTAGGCTTATTCCTAGTTACTTTATTCTTTTTTTAGCAATTGTGAATGGGATTGTTTTCTTAATTTCTCATTCTGCTAGTTCATTATTGGCATATAAAAATGCAACTGATTTCTGGATATTAACTTTGTATCCTGCTACTTTGCTGAATCATTTAGCAGCTCTGCTAGTTTCTTGGTGGAGTATTTGGGGTTTTCTATGTACAGTATCATCATGTCATCTATAGATAATGACAATTTTACTTCTTCCTTTCCAATTTGGATGCCTTTTATTTCTTCTTCTTGTCTGATTGCTGTGGCTAGGACCTCCAGTCTTATGTTGAATAAGAGAGGTGAAAGCAGACATCCCTGTCTTGTTCCCAGTCTTAAGGGGAATGCTTGTAGTTTTTGCCCATTGAGTATGATGTTGTCACTGGGTCTGTCATATATGGTTTTTACTATGTTTAGATATATTTCCTCTTCCCATTTTGCTAAGAGTTTTGATCATAGATTGGTGCTGGATTTTATCAAAAGCTTTTTCTCTATTTATCATGTATGATCATGTGGTTTTTATTCGTTTTGTTTTTGTGGTGAATCACATTTATTGATTTGCAAATGTTTTACCAACCTTGCATTCCCAGAATAAATCTCATTTGATCATGGTGTATGATCTTTTTAATGCATTGCTGTATTTAGTTTGCTAATATTTTATTGAGGATTTTAGCATCTGCGCTCATCAGGGATGTTGGCCTATAATTTTCTTTCTTTGTAGTGTCTTTATTTGGTTTTGGAATTAGGATAATGCTGGCCTTATAAAATGAGTTTGGGAGCCTTCTCTCCTTTTGACTTTTATGAAATAGTTTGAGAAGAAGAGGTGTAAGTTCTCAGAATGTTCGGTAAAATTCACCTGTGAAGCCATCTGGTCCAGAGCATTTGTTGGTTGGGAGTTTTTTTATTACTGCTTCAATTTCATTAGGTGTAATCTGTCTATTCAGATTCTCTGATTCTTACTGATTTATCTTTGGAAAAATGTATGTTTCCATTTCTTCCAGGTTGTCCAGTATTTTGGCCTATAATTGTTCACAATGTTTTCTTACAATCCTTTGTATTTCTTTGGTGTCAGTTGTTACTTTTCCTCTTCATTTCTGATTTTTTTATTTGGATCCTTTCTCTTTTTTCTTGATTAGTCTGGTTAAAGTTTTGTTAATTTTGTTTATCTTGTCAAAGAACCAGCTCTTGGATTTATTAGTCTTTTGTATCATTTTTTTAGACTCTATTTCATTTATGTCTGTTCTGATCTTTATTATTTCCTTCTTTCCACTCACTCTGGGCTTTGCTTGTTATTCTTTTTCAAATTCCTTTAAGTGTAAAGTTAGATTGTCTATTTGAGCTTTTTCTTGTTTTTTGAGATAAGCCTTCAATGTTGTGAATTCTCCTCTTAGGATTGCTTCCCCAGTGTCCCACAGATTTTGGATTGCTGTGTCCTCATTTTCATTTGTTTCAAGGTATCTTTTGATTCCTTCCTTAATTTTGTTGTTGACCCATTCATTGTTTAATAACATGTTATTTCGTTTCCACGTCTTTGTGCATTTTTCAGTGTTCTACTTGTGACTGATTTCTAGTTTCATAGCACTGTAGTCATAAAAGATGCTTGATGTGATTTTAATCTTCTTAAATTTATTGAATGTTGTTTTGCGTCCTAACGTGTGGTCTATCCTAGAAAGTGTTCCATGTGCACTTGAAAAATATGTATATTCTGCTGCTTTGGGATGAAATGCTCAGAAGATATCAATTAAATCCATTTGATCTAGTGTGTCATTTAAGGTCACTGTCTCCTTGAGTTTCTGTCTGGAAGATCTATCCATTGAAGTTAATAGGGTGTTAAAATCCCTGACTATGACTGTATTTCTGTCTATCTCTCTGTTTATGTCCATTAAGATTTGCTTTACATATTTAGGTGCTCCCAGTTGCATGCATAAATATGGATTATTTTTCTACTACCATAGGGTTGTATCCTCTTGTTGGAGTGTTCCTTTTATCATTATGTAGTGTCCTTCTTTGTCTCATACTGTAGATTTGGTTTTAAAGTTTATATTTTTGAATATAAGTACTGCTACCCCAGTTTTTTTACTTTGTATTTTCATGACGCATCTTTTTTCATCCCTTTACTTTTAGGCTGTGTGTATCTTTTGATCTGAGGTGGGTATTTTGGTGGAAGCATATATATGGATCTTGTTTTATTATTCATTCAGCTATGCTCCTTCTTTTGGTTGGAGTATTTAAGTCAATTACATTTAAGGTGCTATTGATAATAATTATTTAGTGGCTATTTATTGTCAGACTGTTTTTCTCTATTTTTTTCTTTCCATTTTTCTTCCCCTCCTTCTCCTTCTTCTTCTGCCTCTTCAAGCAATTCCTTTAACATTTGTTGCAGTACTGGTTTGGTGTTAACAAACTCCTTTAACTTTTTCTTGTCTGAGAAGCTCCTTATTTCCCTTTAAATTTTAAATGATACCTTTGCTATGTAAAGTAGCTAGGTTTTAGGTCTTTGCCTTTCATCACCTTGAATATTTCATGCCACTCCCTTCTGGCCTGGAATGTTTCTGTTGAGAAGTCCAATGAAAGTCTAATTGGTGCTCCCTTTTAGGTAACTACCTGCTTTTCTCCTGCAGCTTTTAGGATTCTTTATTTGTCTCTAAGCCTTGCCATTTTAATTAAGATATATCTTGGTGTAGGCCACTTTGGGTCCAGCTTGTTTTGGACTCTGGCCTTCCTGGACTTGTGTGTCTTTTTCTCCCACCAGATGATGGACCTTGTCAGTCATTTCTTCAAATAATTTCTCGATTCCTTGCTGACTCTCTTCTCCTTCTGGTATACCCGTGATAAGGACGTTGTTATACTTCATGTTGTCCCAAAGGTTTCTTAATCTCGCCTCATTTTTTAAAATTCTTTTTTCTTTTCTGCTGCTCTGCCTGGGCAGTTTTCTTCTACCTTGTCTTCCAAATCACTGATTCAATCCTCTGCTTCATCTAACCTACTCTTTATTACTTCCAGTGTATTATTTATTTCAGATATTGCATTATTTATTTCTGACTGGTCCTTTTTATGGTTTCTTTGTCATTTTTCATGTTGTTGAGTATCCTTACAATCATTGCTCTAAACTCTTTGATAAATGGCTTGCCTCCATTTCATTTAGTTCTTCTTCTGGAGAATTCTCTTGTTCCTTCATTTGGGGTCTATGTTTTTGTCTTCCCATTTTGGCTGCTTCTTTGTATTTGTTTCTATGTCTTAGGTAGGTCTTCAAAGACTCTGGGGTAGACCTTTGTCAGACACTGCTTGTGACTGACCTTGGTAAACCAGTTTGGAGCTATCAATGATCCACAGCATGTGACTCCCTCTGCTGGGCCTGTGTGTGTGTTGAAGGAACCAGGCTGCACATCAAGGTCTGCTTTTATCAGCATGAGGACTGGGGGAGGGTCAGCTGACATCTCAGAGCTCCCAGAAATCTGCCTTAGTTGTTAAACTAATCAATGATAGAGCATCAAGCTATACTCAAAAGCCCAAGGTGGCTTCTGCAGAATGGGAGATGACTCAGCACAGGGATCCTGGTTGCTGTTCCTTCTGTTCTATCCCCAGAGCCACCAAACCCAGACTTTCCTCAAGCCCTTTTAGTCCAATCTGCCCTCCCTCTGCCAGAGCCCAGGGTAAGCAGCTGCAAATAGAATTTTGTGCATTGCCTCTTTAAGAGGCTCTCTGTATATTCAGCAGGCTCTCCCTGGTGGACAGAATATCTATTACTTTTCACAACCAGATGTTATCTGGGTTTCTGTCCTGGCTCTGATACTGTAGGCTTGGGCCCAGCTTCGTATTTAGACCCCATACATCTCAGGGGAACACTGGCCTCTGAAATACCTCTCCGGAACTTAAGCTCCTGCCTGTGGGAGCCCAGCCAGCACTCTCGCACCTCCTCCACACTCCATACCAGTCATGTTGTGGTGAAGTGGTTTCTTCTGTCCGTCCTTGGTTATAATGCTTCTCTCCAGCTAGTGTTCAGTTGGTT